CAAACAACGCTAAACGACATCGAAGAGTGAAGCTTAAGATGGAAAATTGCCTTAAACTACTAAAAACACAAGCAGTACTCTTTAAAAAGGGGCATTGATAACCAGAGGAACAACTAACAGTGCAAAACAGCCCCGTCGAGTGGAATAGTGAAACAAAATACTTAGGAATCACCATGGATAAAGGATTAACATTCAAAAAACATGCCATGCATGTAGATGCCACAACACGAAAAGCAAACATGGCAAAAGCATCAATAAGAGAGAGAGCAGGCAGAAAAATCAAATTGAGCATGGAAACAAAAATAAAGTTAGTAAATAGTACAATTTTACCAATACTAACATATGTATTTCTTGCAAGGGAACACCACAAAGAAGAAAATACAAGCAGCACACAACAGCAGCCTAAGAGAGGCAGCCAACATACCGAACTACGTTGCGGAAAGATTGTTATTCAGAGAATTACAACAAATCAGAGTGACTGAGATAATAAAGAAAAAAGTCAGGACAAAATTTGCGGATCTGAAGAATCACCCCAGTCACATAACGCGAGAGATCATCAGATACGACACTTTCCAGATGACAGCACAAACGACCCAAACAACAAATAGTGGAATAAATACCAGAGAGAAAATAAATAAATATACCAGAGAGAAAATTAAAATCGCCGGAGAGAAAACAAAACAAATAGCACCAACGACATCCCATAAAAGCAAGTTCGTGGCTCAATAACAACGTGAACAAGCGCAGCACGGTGTAGGTCTCAGGTAAAATGATTTTAATATCACAAGAAGATAACAGGAATAAACCGACTAACGCTAGTCTGAATTTTAATCAGCTAGGCTACCATGTTCGAATTCTATTAACCAGGACTCCCACATGAAGAGTATTTAGCTGATAGTTGTGCCCCTATCACGCATCACGGTGCTATCGGGGGAAAAGGGATGGTCTGGAGCATTGGAGCGTAGTGGAGTGATTCCTGTTTAACTCTAGTCAATACACCTCGCTTCAATGAATTATTACACTCGATCGTAATTCTAAGGGATGAATATATCTCACAGGCTGGGTGTAATTAAATTGCTTGTTTGCCAGGAAGTGACTTATTGTCGTTGGTACTTTCAGTGGTAATATTGGTTGTAAAAAAAGTAGAAAAGAAAAGGTTTGTTTTATTTCTACCACAATTTACAACTAAAGGTTGGTTCGTTCGTAATTATAATTTGAAATCAAAATTAACTATGAAACTACTAACTGAAACTATGTAACAGAACGCGTTTGGTGATAAGAAAACTCATAGGCAATATAATACATGCCACGATACTCAAAGAAACGTTTAAGAATAATCATCTTCATCATCATCTTTGGCTCTACCACCCTGGATGGTTCTTGGCCTGTTCAAGAATTAGTCTTTATTCTCCCCTTTCTTTCCAATTTCTGACTCCTAGATTCCTCAAGTCATCTTCGACAAAGTTTCTTGGTTCTACTGGCTCTTGATATAATATATGTCGTTTAAGGATAAGCAAGTTCTTATTCCGAGAATTGCAATGACAACAACTGATATTCCATTTGAATTTAAACGAATTTAATATATGACTTTTCCTGCTTTCTTCATGACGATAAACAAATCACGAAGGCAATCCTTGAATATTTGTAGACTGCATATAAAATATAATTGTTTCTTTTATGGTCAAGTATACGTGGTATGTTGACTTGATTTTCGCGACAGGCAATACAACGAACAATATAGTATATTACAAAGTCAATTAGTGAAAATAATCGACACTTGTGCAACCCACTCTCCAATGGTTACTTTGTGAATTAGCTCTTTTTTGAACTTTTTGGATCAACTTGATCTTGATATAAAAAGTTAATATAACCTAATTAATAATTAAACAGGAGATTTAATAATTCTGTAGCCTGGTTTCAAAGATGGCCAACTCCATTTAGCAAAATTTTCAGTATAGGTAAAAACTGTTTAAACTACTTCCACACAATGGCTACAGTTGAATTTTTTTTTGTTGATTAATAATGATTTCCAGAGAATCTTGGAATAATAATATTTATGCATTTTACTGTAGTTAAAGGGATATTTAACGTTGAAATATGGAGTTGGCCGTGTTTGTAACCAACATGTGGAGATAGACGTTTTTGTCACCAAAAATATTGCTGATGGTGTCGCTGATTTAAGTCAGTAGTAATATACTGAAGATTTTTTTGGTGAAAATAAAAAAAGTTGAAATATGTGTTACAAATATTAATTTATTGGGCTAATACAATATTTGTCAATAAAATTTAAAAACCCGATCAATACACTAACTACAAAAGTTCTTTAGATACCTGCTTGGTCGGTAGACAATATCTGAATTTTACAATAATTCTGAATCAAAAGTCCACTACAACTTAGTTGACTTCCATGACTTCATCACAGTCTGCATTATTTAAGCACTCACATTCAGGAAGTGGATTTTCAGGCATCATTTCATTATTGTTTATCACTTCGTGATACCATTTCACATTTTCCATTTCACCCCATTTTTTACCATAATGTTTTGTAATAAAACCCGCACGTCTTTAATTTTTAACGCATTCTCTTTGGCTCCAAGCGTAAGTTCAGTTGAATTAATTGGGAAACTATAGTTTTGTTCGCCACTGACAGTTACTGACTTTTGTTTCTTGGTCAGAATTAACTTTTTGAGTTGTGAAACTTTGAAATAAAGATTGTTTGGGTCTTTATCACAGTTTTTAGCTTCTGACTTCCAATCTTGGTTGGTCCAGTCTTTTCCTAAAAGTTTGACTGTCCCATGCTTACTAAATTCTGAATGATACTCTTCAAGCTGCACAATTGTATCTCTTTTCTTTAAACTTCGTTCTATGCCACCAAAAATTCTATCACTAGGCATATATGAGTGACTGGTAACAGGAAACACAAGCTCCTCTGTAGTGATTGAAGTTTTAGTCCTGTGCAACCAAGAAATGCACATCGTTAATACAATAGTATTCTTGTTTTGGCTTGGACACCCATCAGCTACCATCCTTAAGGTGTCTTTTCCTTTAAAGTAACGAGATTTAGATCTGCACTCAAGTCCTTTAAACACTGCAGAGGCTATTTCATTCGACGACTTTTTCATTTCGTATTCGTCCCAAGAGTAAATTGATACATTTTCTTTGCGTAAAGCTTCGGTTCCAGTAGAACATCCAGAAACTATCGTCAGATTATAGCAGTATAACTGTCTTGAATAGTACACACTCTGATCTGAGAGCTTTGGCAGAGGCATATTTTTTTGCATGTCGTACGACATTATAGCAACATTAGGTTCATCTTTTTTCAAAAGGTTAAAAAACCCTTTAGCAGGCGTAGTGTGAACAGTGTATTCTGCTTTAAGCATTTGCAGTATTGCTTCATTTTTTTCAACTTTAATTTTTTCTTTGTACTGAAGGCAGGTTGAACACACATCTGTCGAAGGCCTTTTAAAGCTAATGTTGTACCTAGTTACGAATATGTGTCGGAAAAACAACTCTTTAACTTTAAATTCATCAACAACGGATTCTTCGTACATCTTCCACATTTTAGAAATAGACAGGGTGGAATCAAGATAAATACGAGTACTCCTGGCTCTACTGTAATGTGATTCTGTGCCTTTAAACTGCTTTACAAAATGTATTACAGAATCAATTTTTTTCTAATATATGTTAGCCTTCCTATAACCACCTCGAGTTTCCACGGGGATGAGACATCCGTCTTTTTTAAATCTTGTGAAAACACCTTCAACTCTGTGTTTTGTGATCCACAATACATTAATAAACGTTTAATAAACTACATATCTCTAATCTATTTCCTGCTGTTGTTTCAATACAATATTGGTAGGTTACGCCTTTAGTATGTCTTGATCCGTCTCCTGGTCTGGTTCTTTTTGGTTGTTCTGCTGTGCAATACTTTAGAATGAAAGCAACTTGGCTGGTTTTTGTCTTTTCAGAATAAAATGCACTATGAAACCGATTTATATCTTGCATCTTCAATGAACTGCAATTTTTCTTTCCTCTGTGGCCACATGAAAGAGCATCAGGTAATCTCTTTGAACTGTACCTAAAACAAACATTGGATTCAAAACCAAAATACAAACTGTTTTATGTCAGGGAAACTTATTTTGTTCTAACATAAGTTAAAGAAAAATAAAAATAATGTGAAGTGTGAATAGGTTAGGCCTACTAGAAATTGTTCCATTTTCACTCTAATAACTAGGTCCAGGCCTAAGTAATAGTAATTTTAAATGAATGTTATTTAAGTTTGTCTATTAGTTTATTCAATGTTAGGTTACGGTTTAATACTAACCTCAAAATCTTTTGTTTGGCTCTTTTCCAATTTGAAGGATTTGGTAGTTTCTTTCTTCCTTTCAACAAAGAAGATTCTTTAACATTAGTTCCTTCCATGTTATTTCTGCAGGTTTATTACAGTAATATATTTTTAGTATATTAGTAAAACTTTAAAATACTAAACAATAAAACAACGCTAGTTACAACACACCAGAATAGCTCAGTTCACTGCTGTCTTCTGTTTCACCTGAGGCGGTGAGGTCACGTGACAGAATGAAGCCATCTGATTGGTGCTTTGTGGAGATGGCCGTTTTTGTCACAACATATTTGAGAGCTGGCCGATTTTGTAACCAAGGGTACTATTCAAATGCAGTTAACATTGTTCTGGCCATTTTTGACACCAAAACTATTTAGATTTGGATTCCCCATGTTATTTTACACAAGAATTCGTCACTATATGAATTTTTAAAAAAATGGAGTTGGCCATCTTTGAAACCAGGCTACAGAATTATAAGACGATACAAAGTTCGCCGAGTTAGCTAGTGCTATATTCATTATTTAAATAGGTCCGCTAGGATATCGTGTCATCCTAGAGACTTATTTGTTTTTAATATCAACCAAAATATGCTAAATGGTTTATAAAGTTGTATATTGATATTATAGTAAATAAATATATGCATAATACATAAAGTTACCTGATAAATAGGTATAGACTGATCCAACGAGCTCCTTTCTTCTAAGAACTGTCAATGACATTATATTTCCAACTATTCCAAAACAACTTATTATTGTAATAACAACAGAATACATGATAAAATCTAAAAAATAACACATAAGCTAATACTATGTTTTATTTCAAGTGTGTGTAAAATAATTGAGATAATTGTGGATAAGTTAAGGTTTAATTATACAACAAACTGAAATATATAACAATTACAAGAATATGCTCAGTAGTGATACGGATACTAGGTGGCAAAAGAAAAGATCCACCCACATGACCCTAAGAGGTAGTAAAGCACCACAGCAAAGCTGGTGTCAAACAATAGAAAGAAAACTTTGGATAGGAAACTGTACAGAAAAATTATGAAGAAAATTAAATAAGAAAACGAAATCTGGTCTACCTCATTAATATAGATCAAGAAAGTTTTAAAAGTGGCCCGAGGCAGTGTTTAACCACTATAGATATAGGATACACAAGTGGAATCAAATCAGAGAATGACTGAACTATTTTGTTACTTTTGAACGCGCAGTATTTTGATGGCCTTTTCTAAGTGGAAGCTACGGACGACCAGGTTTTCTCCTCTTATGGGCAATGTAGTAGCAGACAAAGCAGACCCATTTATCTAAAAACTATGGAGCTAGATCTCGTTACAAATCACACTTCAGATTGGGATCAAACTCAGACATGTGTACAAATAAAAAACTACCGAACAGACTTTTTCAAAATTTCGCAGGAACTAAAACAGGAAGATTCCTGATCATAAGGGTTCATGAGTAGAACATCAACAGGAGCATAGGAAACATACGCAAGGTTAAAAACGAAAACAAAAAGGCTAGGTCTGGAAATTAATACAGAAAATACAAAAATAATGCTGAATGAAATGTATGAATGAAAAGCTATTTAGGTGTAGAATGTGAAGTAGCGTTAAACAAAACTGCTAACAATATCGGAAAAAGTATAATTGCCAAATCTATTACAGATGTGTGTAGTGAAACTAAGAATTCATGTTACAAAGAGAATAAAACAGCAATTTCCATTAAAAATAAATCAACAGAAAACTGCATTGTCTTTACAAAAGCAGACAAAGCAATAGAATTCTTAAATAATCAAAATATTGAAACTTTACACAAAGATCCGACAGAAAAATATCAAAAACAAATTAAGCTAGCGTTAGAAAATTCAAAAGCAATACTAAATCCAATAGAACAGAAATACCTCAATATCATGAACCCACAGCCTCCTAAATTATACTCTTTCATTAAACTACACAAACCGGATCTCCTAATAAGACCTGTAGTTTCTTTTTATACAGCTCCGTCATATAAACTTTCAAAAAAACTGACAACCTAATTTTACCATAAAAAATACAATAGAACTAGTTAATAAAATACAACATTTTCAATTACCTAACAACTCCAGATTAATTTCATTTGACGTAAAAAATCTTTTTCCTAGTATCTCTCCTACAGAAACTTTTATTCTAGTAAAAAACCTTTTAGACCAAAATAGTACAAACTCAATAATTACATCTGAAATCTTACATCTTCTTGAATTTTGCATAAACCAGGACTACTTTGAATTTAATAATAAAATATATACAAATAAATGTGCAGGACTTATAATGGGTAATCCTCTAAGCCCATTGCTATCAGATATTTTTATGGATCATCTAGAGACAAAGATTTCAAAACATCCCAAATTTTTTAGATTTAAAAATTAGCAGACTTCAAAACAAACATGACTTCTTCATATTTCATAAACCTACCCATACTGACAAGACTATACACAATTCATCATCCCATCCAACACAACATAAACTGGCAGCTTATCATAGTAAGTTACATAGATTAACAGAAATTCTGATGTCAAAAGACAACTTTGAGACAGAATTAAATATAATTAAGCAAATAGCAGTAAACAACGGATACAACGAACAAACAATTAATAAAATGTTAAATCAAAAACTACACAAGAAAGCCCTGAAATTAGTATTTCCACCACCAGAGAAAAAATCCAGTACCTTCTGCTCGATTACATATACAGGCAAAATAACAACAAAAATTGCCAAACACATAAAAAGAAAGGAATAACACCAGCTTTCCGAACAAATAACAACCTAGGCAAATATCTTAAAAATAACAAGAGCCAAAATAAAAAACACTTAAATAGTGGTGTGTACAAACTTCAATGTGGCGACTGCCCAAAAACTTACATCGGTCAAACTGGTAGAAACTTTGATAAACGAATAGCAGAACATAAAAGGGCTTTCAAGAATAGAAAAACAGATTCGACATACGCACTTTACCTTCTAGATCAGAATCATTCTTTTAATGACAAATTTAAAATTCTTCACATTCAAAATAAAGGCCTTAAGCTATCTTTGTTAGAATCTATGGAAATCAACAAATTAAAAAACACAGATATAATTCTGAATGACCAACTTGAGACAAACAGTTCTCCCCTTCTCAACCTATTTCATTAGATACTATAAATTTACCCAGGCCAAAAATAGATTACTTGAGAAAGGCTATCAACCGAAACAGCTGTAGTGATGAGATTTAAAATAAATTTTGTGGAAGTTTGAAAACAAAGTTTTCAGTGTTTTATTGTTACAAAAATAATGATACAGACGAGAAGAAATATAGTCCCACAAAACAAGATTGCAATGGCCTGGGCATGTGACAAGAATAGGAGAGGATAGGCTACCAAAAAGAACACTGAATGCTAGAATGAAGGAAAGAGACCGGTTGTAAAACCAAGCAACCACTGGGAAGACACAGTAAACAGCGACGCACAAGCCCTTTTAGGAGTCCGTGTGCCCTTGTGAGAGAAATTTTTCTAAGCTGAGTATAATAAAATCGATGATTCGATCGACAATGCTACAAGACTGTTGGAATATCTAATGGTGCCTTTTGTTGAACAAAAACTTTTTCTACATGTAGATACAGATAGTGTAGTTGACGAATTTTAAAAAACCGTACCATTCCAGCAACGATTGGTATTGTAATGTGTTGTTAATAAATGTTTAAGATCAATCTGAATTTTTAACTTATTTTATATATGTATATATATATATATATATATATATATATATATATATATATATATATATATATATATATATGACTATGACCACCAATACTTTTCTTGGTCACGTGTATGATCACGCAATATTTTAATAAAAGCAAACGTAAATCGTTTTAAAAATTTACTCTTCTATCAAATATATTTTGAAGTGAATATAATATAAGAAATAACAATAAAAAATTATTTCGAAAAATTGGTAACTGCTTTTAATATATGAAAATATCATTTCTTAGGGGAGCGCGATTTTCAGCATTGGAATCCACACTAAAAAAACTTGGCTACTCCTATGAATAGAAATCGTATGTTCCGAAATTTTACAAAATATGACTAGTAGATTTTTCTTTTTGCCGTATGACAGAGAGGGACAATTTTGCAATTGATTAAAATCAATATAAAGTTTATATATTAGCATTGTCTATTACTATATTAATGGGTAAATCTTTTTGTCTTTTTAATAAACATAATAAATTACTTCGTTGTTATCTGAGCAATGATCGATCAGTGGAACACTGGTTTATAAAGAGGGTAAACATAAAATTAGTATTACCAGTCATTATCTTTATCGATAGCCCATATGCTATTACATTCGGAATTAGTTTATTACATGATATAGTATTTTAATAAATTTTATTATTACAATCGTTGAAACAATTAAAAGTAAGCAGATGGGTCTTTTAGAGGATCTCCGTCTTGCATCTAAACTTAACACTAGGACAATCTCAACAAGCTTATTTTTAAATTCAGCATGTTAAATATTCATTTATTTTTAGCTTCCTATTATTATATAACTTCCTTAAGCTATTATATTTAAACCATTTTGAAACTTAACCCATTAGAAGGTGACAAAAGTTCTATTCTAAAATTCAATTTTCTAGCGTATTCTTATGGTATTAACTTCGATTGAAGGTTGGCAATAATCTCAGTGAAGTAATATATATCTTGTGCTGGTTGAAACACTCAATGTGTGTCCAAACTACTCAAATTTCTTATATTTTTCAACCAGGAATCTTACATCTTCCAAATCACCTCTTACTTTCTATTTTCCCTTCGATTATTAATTTTAAAAGCTTTACTATTCTGATTCTAATTAATTACAACAAGGTGACCAGTTCTTCTCTTTTAATATTAGAAATCGACTCTCTTTGTTTACTAAGCTTTTTTAACAGCCTGCAACATATTATAATAATAAATAAAAAAAAATAAATAAAAAAATAAAAAAAAATTTTAAACTAATAAAATTAAAAAAAATAAAGATAAAAAAAATATATTATAATACGGCTCTAATATATTTCTTATTTAATAGCAGAGTACGGCCCTGCACTATATTCTCTTTTATTGTATTTTCTTTATCACAAAAAATTTGAGTTTTTTTAGGTCTTAAATGTAAATCTTCAATAATGTGAATATATTTTCAATGTGATATCAAATTCTTAAATGTAAACTTATTACATCCTTAATCAGCAGACTCCTTTATATATTCTAAAAAGAATTATTTAGATAATATACAGAGTGGCCCAAAAGTCTTGAAACGGCCAATTACTAATCATAATTTTACAAAATTTGAGGTACACCTATTTTGGGATACCAAGATTCCATATTTGATATTTGCCTTGTTGCCAGATTTGCCGTTTCTCTTATATTATTAGTAACTTTGGTTTTTTTAATACATCACCCTATATATTCAGGCATTATTAGAATCTCCTATTCAATACGAGTTCAACCATATGTAACACTTATGATTTTATGTATTCTGGAAGGTCTTAAATACATAAAACAGAAGTCTGACAACGCCTAATTGTCTCAATAATTTTTTTAATCCTAACTATTTTCAACTACCTTAAAACGTAACAATTGATAGATTACATTTTTTAACATAATGGTTACTTTATCGAGTGTTCCAAATTTGTTCCATTTATGAGTTGACAGTACCCTAATCGATGGTGAAATGCATATTATCTACCACATTTCTCCATGATTGTCTAGAAATTATTCGAAATTCATCGATAATTCGTTGCAAGACTTGCTAGTTTAGTTTTATAAACTTAAATTTTCAACTATTCTCAATAAAAATTATCCTTAGGATTGAAATCAGGTGAACGTGGAGGCTATTCAATTCTACCTCGTCTACCAATCCATCGTCCGGGAAATATCTCATCTAAATAACGCTGAACATTTACACCAAAATGAGCTGGAGTTTTTCATGAGGCTCACAAACAAATATGGAATCAAAGATGGAGTCTCCGTATCCCAAAATAGGTATACCTCAAATTTTGTACAATTATGACTAGCAATTTACGAGATAATTGTCCGTTTCCAGACTTTTGGGCTACTCTGTATATGGCACCGGCCTGTCGCTACATGAAGAAGTTCGTGTTCCTCTGATACTAAAATATCAATAGGACCCAGGTCTACCTAGCCTTTCGGCGTACGACCTTTAGCTAGTCACTAACTCCTACGAGTCCGATATCATTTGAAGGCGGCGCGTTACACAAACCATCGCGGGGCTCCACCCTCCCCATAGTACCTTTGTTACGTTAAGAACATCCGTCCGTTATCTCCCGGTCGAAAAGTTGCGCGCAGGTAGAGGAACTCGACCTCGCACGTAGACAGGTAGCCTCCAAGGAGTTCTCCTATCCCACTCTTAAATCTCCAATAGTGGGTAGGTACGTGCCGTAATCCTTCACCCTTAATAAAGAAAAGAAGTATAAGGGTTGCTGCTTGTTTAACCTCACTTTGGTTCCCTGGAATAAAAGTAGAGTGATCCCACGAGAGACTTGTCTCAAAAACGCGACACCTCAAACGACGGCTTTCTACCTCTCCTTCCTTCCCATTGGTTGCCTCTTACGACAGCCAGGGATAACTAGTCCAGGAAGTATTCTTATCTTCGCTAGCCGGATAATATAAACAATTTGAACCGACACTTTTACACCTGTACATAAAGATCAGACAGTTTGTATATATTATTTAACACAATATCTGAATCGCCAAACTCAAGGGGTCAGTTAATCTAGGTTAATATTCCTTTTATGGTTATGAAGAAATAATGTAAACCACACACCTGTATTTTTATGGTTCTATTCTCACAGAAAGTTTGTAACAGTTGATTAAAAAAACGTTATATTGCTTTTGAATTTACAGAACTATTAGCCATAAAAATACCATAAAAAATCTCACCTCGCTTTTAAAATTCCTATAAAATGTTGGTTCTGTGCCGGCAAGGATATACTCGCACTGTCATAATCACATATTCTATACGTACAATCACATATCTCACAGTGCACTTTTTGCTTTTACGCATACAAAAATAGAGCATACCTAAAGAGATGAAAATATATCATAATGAAAACAATGTTTGTCAATGTGGATAATATAAATAAGTTGGAATCATTTGAAATGTGGTGCGATAGAAGTATTTTGAAAATACCATAGAGCCAACGAGTTACAAATGCAGAAGTGTTAAGAAGGCTACAAAAGGATTGCGAGATCATAAAGCACATAAAAACAAGAAAGCTGGAATATTTAGGCCACATTACCATATCTTTTAGAGCAGCCGCCAATAAGGTACGAATAGCTGTGATGATAGCCAACCTCCGATAGGAGAAAGAACTACAAGAAGAAGAAGAATGAGATATGAAGCTAGATGCACAAGAAGAGTAAAGGTCGAATACCTGACAGTAAGAAGAGAAGAAAAAAGATTGCTGAGAAGAACAAAAAATGAATTTTGAAGAAAAGCAGTAAGAAAGTTCTACAGAAATGTAATCAAAATGAGTAGAGTTTCAGCCAAGAATGGGGAGCTGTAAGGATGAAGAACGGCCGTTATATTGAAAAAGCTGATAACACCGTAGAAGATCGAAATGATTGGAATTTATTCAACCCAAACGAAAGACCACCTACCACCAAACAGGTTGCCAACGCCGTTAAAAAGCTTAAAAATAATAAAGCACCAGAAACTAATCAAAATTGTAGTGTGCTCTACAACAACGGTGTCAAACACTGCATAAACTTTTACTTCTTGTTTGGCAAAATAAGACCAAACAAAAAATGCGATCAGCTCCGGTGTGACAACTACGACGTGTAACCCTTTTAACAAGTATACTGCTTACAAAATACTAGCAAATATTCTCTACGAAAAACTACAAGTTTACACAGTTGCCATAACTGGAAAATATCAGGCCGGATTTACTCCAGAAAAATCAGCAATTGACCAGATTCATTCAATAAGACAGATCCTCGAGAAAATATTAGAATTTAACATTAAAACCTATCACCTATTCGTCGCTTTTAAGACCAGATATGACAGTGTCAAGAGAAAAGTACTATACCAATCCAAACGTGAGTTTATTGTTTAATAAAAACTTATCCGATTAACGAAAATGACAATGTCTAACTTAAAAGCCAGCGTTAGTATAGAGGGAGAAAATTCTCGATCCTTTAACATAAAGGATGAACTCAGACAAAGGAATACCCTGGCTTGCATGCTATTTAACTTTTTTTTCTTCTTTAGGTACCTCTAAGGAGGTTGGTAATCATTTTCACTTTTGAGATTGCAGCTCTGAACTTCTGAAGTCCATGGTACTGCAATTATACCTCTTTCTCAGATTGTTGAGACAGGAGATGCGTCTTCTTCCAATACTTCGTTTTTCCTGTATTTTTCCCTAAATTATGGTTTGTAGCAACACATATTTATCCCCTCTCATAACGTGGCCGAGATATTGTAACTTTCTTATCTTAATCGTATTCTGTAGCATTGTGTAGCATTCTTCGTAATTCTATTTAACATTGTCTCCTAACTGCCTGAAAAAGCAGTCCAAGACACACGAATTAGAGACGGCGGTACTATTTACAATAGATCGATACAAATCTTAGCATATGCTGATGACATTGACATAATAGGGCGTAGCAAGCGAGATGTTGAGCAATATTTCCTAGAATTGGAAAAAGCGGCGAAACCTAGTCATTAATAAAGACAAAACCAGGTACATGTTGGTTATTAAGGATCCTATAGCGAATGAGGAACTGGGAACAGCATTTGGAAGTCATATCTTTGAACGTGTTGACAGCTTGACATACCTTGGTTCGCTAGTGACTACTACCAATAAAACAAGCGAAGAAATTAAAAGACCAATAAACCTTACAAATAGGACATGGACTCTACTATGGACTCTAAAAACAATTCCATTCGAAAAATATTCAAAGGAAAACCAAAATTATTGTAACATGGAACACGGAAACATGGACTCTAACGCAGAAGGATGAAAGACTTATACTAATAATTTATAATTCATAGCTAATATTTGTAGCTGTAAAAGATCAAGGGCAGTGGTCCAAACATTTAATTTCGAATTATACCAACGTTTTAATGAACATTACGACATCTGGTTCATTAAACAGTCTGGTTCATTAAACAGCAACTTAGATGGGCCGGACACATAATACGAATGCCTGACAATATAATTGCTAAAAAGCTAACGGCAGGAACACCTATAGGAAAAAGAAGTAGAGGCGGACCGCGAATAAGACGGAGTTAAAACCAACTTAGAAATATTAGAGATCAGAAGATGACAGCACGTTGCCAGAAACCGAACAGAATGGCGACTAATCTTAGAGCAGGCCAGGATTCACAGAGGATTTTCGAGCCAAAGATGATGATGATGATATACTAAACGTACCTACTTAATATTTAAATATTAATATTATTATTATTATATATCATAGTGGTCATTTAAACTTATTATTTTTTTTATTTATTTTTAAAATTCGAAAATTTGAAATTGTAAAATAAAATAAAAATACTCGCAGTCTACAATATTTCTTCAACATCGAATTGTATCAAAGTCTTTTATTATTGTTGTGGAAAACAACAATTTGGCACTACTCCAAAAAAAAATACATAAATATGGTTTGTTTTCTTCATGAGAAGTTTCTAAATAATTATTATTTCCTGGAATATTTCGCTTAGTATAATTCCCAAACACTTTTCTTTAGCAACAGCAATTAATTGCGGAAAATTAAGGTTGAATCTATGATGATTATTATTGTAGGTTTAAACTCAATAAGGGAAAACTTACTTCTCAGAGACGGAAGGTCGTCATCATCAAAATCATCCAAACGGTCGCTGTTATTTGTATTACAACGCACCTCTTCACTACATGTGGGATAATTTGGGGGTGGGTTTATCGTCTGATAGAGATACTTTTCGAATAATAAAAATGAACTTCCCATTTTAATCCCATACACAAAGCTAATAAATAGGTATTTTAGTTGTATAAGTTACGGCATCACAAGTCGTTGACACTGCCCAAAATGTTACTAAATGAAAAAGTCATAGGTAAAATGTACGGGTTATACACATATCAAAAAATCAATCCGTTAAGTGTTTGTTTGGATGTAATAACGATTAAGATTAACTTGTTTGCTGTAGTGGAATAATTACTTTTCCATGTTTTCATAAAATGAGAAATGCACTGGGTCGAATGAATTTACGTCATACATCAAACACTTAACGAAATCCAGTTAATGATGGTACAGGATACTTAACTATGTTATGTGTCTGATAACAAATATAAACATTATTGAAAAGGATTATTTAATATGAATTATAGGCAATAAAAATATATGCAAAGTTCTTTCCCTAGATAGACGAGGCAACGAAGCCTACTAATTTTCCACAGTAAAATGAATCGCTATAAAATTGCAACCTTGCAAGCGAAGAAGTATCTCTTTGTGGAGAAGTAGTTCTTGCTTCATGAATGGAATCAACGGTTTCATTTTCCACTATAGGTCGATCAGTTGTACACAATGGTTTAAATTTATAATCTGGAAATATGTTCAGATTATAGGAAAGATGCATGCTGTCTCGAATTCACTGAGTCCGTTGTTATATGGCAGCTGTTCGACCCTGCTTTTCAAGGGTTTGTTTTAAGCAGCCATAAAATAACTTTCTCATTAAAATATACCATTAGGACTACAAAACATGTATGTTATGAATACCTTCTACAAAAAGAAACCTAACATTAAGTGGACATGGATCGCACCTAACGGAACTACCAAAAATTAAATAGACTATTTTCTCTCAAATAACAAAGGAATATTTAAAGACGTCACAACAATAAACAACGTAACAACGGGTAGTAACCATCGTATAGTCAGAGCAAAAATAAATATTAACATGAAAGAAAAGAGAAAAAGGATTAAAACAAAAACAACGAGGATAGATGCCTTTAAACTAAGAACAAATGAAGAGCAATTCCGAGAGGTCTTAGCGGATAAGTTCAAACCTGATCCTTCACATAATCAAGATCAAATTGACGAGATTAATAAAAACCCAAATAAAAACCTTCTGGCAGCAGGACCACAGGTCGTAACGAAAACAAGGACTAAAGAAGACAAAATAAGCAATGAAACTAAACAGCTAATGACGGAAAGAAGACAACCACTAGCGCAAAACAAACGCCATACTCAAGAATATAGAGAACTTAATAAAACAATTAAAAAAGAACTAAAACGCGACATATAAAAATAGAACGAGAACTTAAAAGAGCGAGTCATTGAAAACAACAGAGGCTTAAAATGTCTAAGACCCGCACTGGGAGTTCAAAAAATCATCAAAATTAAAGACGCCAACAATAAGGTAGAGAAGGACAAATCTAAAATAACAAATAATTGTAGAAGACTTCTACACATCCTTGTACAGCTCGCAAGGCCAGCCTAATGAAACAACAAAGGAGGTATAATTGCCGAGCTGTTGAAAACAAGCAAGACATTAACAATCCCTGTACTAACGGAGGTATTTAATAGATGTCTCCATAATAGCCAGATCCCTAAAGACTGGAACGAGAGTCTATTAATACTCTTACACAAAAAGGGGACAAATGTGATCTACAGAATTATAGACCTATATCGTTGCTCAGTCAAGTATACAAACTATTTATGAGAATTATTAATAACCGGTTAACCTACAAAATGGATAATTACCAACCGGTTGAACAGGCTGGCTTCCGCAAAGGATATAGTACATCAGACCATCTGCTGACAATTTGAGAGAACATTGATAGAGAAGGAAAATGCATACTAACTACCCGTATTTCTTTCCTTCGTCGACTATGAAAAGGCGTTTGATAGTATCGAGATGTGGGCCATAGAACAAGCTATTAATAATTGTAGAATAGATTCGAGATATAGGCAACTAATACATAATATATATGAAAATGCAACTATGATAGTACAACTGGACGAAAATAGAAATCCCATCCCCATTAAGAGAGGAGTGAGACAAGGAGACGTTATATCGCCAAAGCTTTTCAACCTAGCCCTAGAAGACGTCTTCAAAACTACAAATTAGTCAACCTATGGCATTAACGTTAATGGCAACAAGTTAAACTAGCTCAGATTCGCCGACAACATAGTGATTATAGCGAGCACATTTGAGGAGCTGCAAATTATGTTGGGGAACTAGCAGCCAACTCCCAATACGTCGGCCTAAAAATGAATATGAAAAAAACAAAAATAATGACAAACACAGATGACCCCAGACATATAACTATAAACGGCAGTGAGATAGAACAAATCCAGGAATATATCTACCTAGGCCAAATCCTGAGACTTGACAAAGAGAACCAAAGTGCGGAAATTACTAGAAGAGCAAGACTAGCATGGGCAGGATTTGGAAAACTTAGTTGGATACTTAAGAACCGCAAAATACCCCAATACTTGAGGAGCAAAGTGTTCAACCAATGCATCGTTCCTATCTTAACATATGGATGTCAAACCTGGACCCTAACCAAGGCAAACATGAATAAACTAGCCACAACAGAAAGAACAATGGAAAGAGCAATGTTAGGTATACGACTGTCAGATAAAAAGAGGAACGACTGGGTAAGATCCAAAACAAAAGTCGAGGACATAACAACAAAAATTGCCAAACTTAAATGGAGCTTCGCGGGCCCCACTGTTAGACAGAAAGACCAACGTTGGAATACTACAATACAACATTGGAGACCTTACGAAAGTAAACGACCAAGAGGAAGACCACAGATGAGATGGGTTGATGACATTAAAAGAATAGCCGAAACAACGCCGGAAGGAGTTGGGAGAGGCCTATGTCCAAACATGCACGACAGAAGGCTAAGAAGAAGTAGAAGAAGAGTGATTAAATTATAAAATTAAAATGTAAAATTGTAGGATGTCTGAACTCCTTCTAGTGGGATCGCAACGTTTCCAAAAAGAACAAAAAGAATAGGACAAACCATGGTTGAATTAATTCTTTATTATGGCTCTGAAGTATGCCAATTAATGAAGACCTGAAGAGAAGATTGTTGGCAGTTGAAATAAATTATTTGAGAAGAAGTGCTAGAACATCAAGGCAGGAAAGGAAGACCAACGAATCTATAAGAAATACCATGAATGCTACAGAAATGGTCATTGACATAATAGAAAGAAGAGGTTCAAAATGGTTTGGACACCTATTGAGAATACCTGACGAAGGCTGGTCCCAAAAACCTCACAAATGGAAGCCCCATGGAAGAAATAAAAGAGGTACCTAGACCTCGACGCTCATAAAATGAAGAAATTTGAAGAGCGATTAAATCGAGGAGCTATAGTACTTTAAACTAAACTAAAATCCAAATTTTAGGGACTCAAAATGGAGGTACCTCAGACAAATTCTGGGTGCGCCACTGCCAAGGAGGGCATTTTACCCGACTTTTCCCTAATCAATAGCTAATTCATTTATACATAAAAACCTGGAAAACAAATCATTAAGTATACCTACGCTTTTAAAAAGCCTATATATTATATAAGCGTAAATACTTGAAATGTTTAAGTGGCAGAGCAAATGGCGATTTGCTCTGCCACTCTTTTTATGTTTCACGAAATACATAAAATATATGTTTATTGTAGGTATTTTGCGATGTTTTTCGTCAGCATTTTGCGGTTACTTTGATTCCTAAGATAAGTACCTATATGTAAGTAGTGAATATATTTTGACCTTGGTACTAGACAATTTAATAATTGTGCGAGAGAGAAATGATAAGCGATATCTAAAAAATAGTGTTACGTTTTTTGTAACATTACGAATTTATATTAATTATAATCAATAATCAAATCGGTAAGCTACTTATTTTATTTTATATAGGTATTTTGATAAGTTCACGCTACTCTTAATAAATAATAATTACAAAGTCTAGGCATCGGTACCTACCTACATGAGGTTTGCCAATATTGCAGTTGTCATTGTTTTTATGTTTAAGTCAATTTTCCTTTACTATATAATTTATTCTTTCATAATCGAAATATATTCACGGATCCAAAAGATACCAATTATTAATTAACTTTTCTTTTATATTTAAGTATAGCGGTTCAGTATTATAATTGAACATTATGGTTATGTATATATTTAATAATATAATGATTTAATAATAATTATTATTATATAAGTAATACCGATTTCCCAAATTGTTAAAAGCTATATGAAACGGGCCTAATTTTTTTCCCAAAGAAAATAGATGTTGTCAATTGTATACAATGTCTCAAAAGTGACAGATAAAAGTTTTATCTAAACTTAAAATTTTAGTTAAGTAAATATAGTCGGGAGATATTATAACTTAGATAAATCTTAAGTAAATGTATTTAACAGTTATACTTAAAAAAATGGCTATTTTTATTATGAAACAGCAGTAACACTATGAACATCATACCATAATTATTTCAATTTCCAAAAATTTGACAACCGCGCAATGAAGTTCTAATGACAGTAAAAAGTGAGGTTAGTTAAGTCAGAAATAGTTAATTCTATATTCTTAATTTTAAAATTTAAAAAGAAATGCAGGTAAGTTATGAATTAGATTATTACAAATTACATTTATTAAACCGCATCATATTGTAACTATAACATCGTTTAGTGATTGACAACGGCATAATCATTTTTATGTTGTAGTTAAAGGTCTGGTCTTACTGTTAGATCCCTTCTGCATCTGTTAATTATTGATTTATCAAACAGATATGGGTTGTCTGGTTCATTGTTATTTTCTATTTGCTGTTTTTAGTTCAGCAATATCTTTCTTAGTATTATTATTTCCCAAATTGTTAGTTATATTTGTTTTTTTTTTATTTAAACACAAAACCACATCAACCGCGCAGGATTATTAGTGGCTATAACAAATACATGAAATACTACATTAAATACAGTTGAATAAATTGATGTCTTTTAAATAGCTTAACACTGTTGATATTTTTTTGGTGAGAACTGTCTTGAGATCATCATCTGTGAATCCGTGAATTGAGGACAATCAAGCAGGATAAGCAGGATATGTTTGACAGTCAGTGGGTTAGAGCAGCTGGAGCAGATAGATAGTGGTTCTTTTGTTATTAGGTATTTGTGTGTTAAGGCAGTATGGCCAATTCTTAGACGATTAATAATGACTTGGTTTCTTCTGTTTAAAGGAGTCTCCATGACATCAGTTATTTTTGGGCAAATTACATTTAATTTAGTACCTAATTTTTCCCAATAATTTTGCTAAATATTAATACAATGGATTTTAATTAGGTTTTTTAGATCTGTGTACGGATATGTCTTCAATTGTGCAGTATGGTTTGAGTTCATTCGACTTTTGTTAGCCAGTTGATCTGCTTTTTCATTTCCGTAAATAAGTTATATTTGTGGTATTATCAATAGAACATAATTTAAACACAGTGTTATTTACTTTTTATTTGAAATAGTTACATCCTTTCTCTAATTCTTGTAGTTTATAACTAATTATATAATTGTTACCTGCTTACTGTTCTAGCAACTCTTCAACTTTACCTACCTGATATTCTACCTGATATTTCATCTGAAAGTTGATTTTCATCCCTACTTTCTTTGAAATCATTTACTTACTATGATTTAATTACTTTGTTTGTTATTAACAGCAATATTTTTTGTATAAGTAGTTGCATTACTTACAGTAGTCTCTTTTGCAATGATAAAACAATTTGTATATTATCTTTAAGGGTTTCACAATTTGACATACAGCTAATGTAAACAAATTTTACATTAAATCCATTCCTCTGTAGTCTTGATTTTTTTCTTTCTTATGTTTGCGAATCAGTTGTTTGAGGTCTTAGGGTTCTAGAGTATTAGTAATAGTTCCTTTTGCCATGTTAAGTAACACATATTTATATATATATGAGAGTTAAGTATGTTTTCCACATTTATTGATTGAATAATATTTTTCTTATTAGTGGAATTTTTATTTGTAGATCTCATTATAAATTTTTACTCTTATATTTTTCGTCCCTATCTTATTCTTAGATAGTATATGTTGTAGGAACATGATTTGTTGGTCTTTGTATTTAAATTGGTAAACTGGTGGAATTATATGCAGAGACATGTTGTCTTTGTTCAGATTTAAGTTTGTTCGTATCTATTCATGACTAATGATAGCAAATAAACTTAGAATGACCATAGTATGCTGGTGTTTACCAATTTAAATATAAAGACTGACAAATCATGCCCCTATGACATCACGTCTCAAATATATCTAAAAGCTGCAGAATGCAGCTGAAAGATATATATTTTGCATAATAAGGGTATACTGCGAAAAGTGAACAATTCAAGTTTTTAACAATTTAACTTCAATGTCCTAATGGTTACATTTATGTGAAGTCTATCAGTCCCAACTTTTGTATTTTATTATTAAAATAAAATCTATTTTTAAATCACATTTGATTCATGCACATAGAATGAGGGACACATTTAGATTTTTTGAATCATATATAATTCATTGGACTGAAGTACCAATGATATGTATATATTTCAATAAGTCAAAAATAGTTAGTACAACATCTACAATAATATGGTATTAAATATAACATCTTGATTGCATATTCCATAAACTGGAAACAGTTTTCTTCTTACATAAGTCCAAATTTAATAAGGTCAACATAAAGGTGAGAACAAGTTTAGTGAAGATCTAATATATTTTATGCACAGTCCTGATTTCATGAAAAAAATGAAAATTTTACCTTGGAAGCATATCATAAGCAGATTGTATGTATTTAGTGATTATGTAAACATGATAAATAATAGCTACAAAAAACATGACTGAATATAAGCCATTTTGTACCATATACTTCCTTTGTTGGCTCAGACTTTATGTTTATACCTGAGAATTCCCATTTTGAAGATTTCAAAGGTGGTGATGGTTAAATAAAATCAATATCAGAATGATAAATTGGCAAAATCTGAATCTCGTGAAGAATATCTGGGACAAACTAAGAAAATGTTCAAAGGCTTGAAAATATTTGAGGAATTGTAACTTACTATTTTAGTAAGAATGATAAATATTGAACAATGTATGTATTATAATGTAATATCTGCATGTGGATATATACACCAATATAGTGTAAAATCCATATAACATTTAATTAACTTAATCTCATATTTCGTTAAGAAATTGTCAATTCGAACCATCTTTTTTTTTTTAATATAACAATAGAATGTTCTGATATCAAGTTTTATTATAACGAAACAAAATGTGGACTCAGATCTATGACATAAGAAACCTCATCTTAGATATACAGACAAATTCAATAGCGACTTGAAGTAGAATATTCGACCCATTGACTGTGACTGGGATACAGACCAAAAATATAAAATATCATAAATCTTCGAATGTATCCACAATTAGCGATTAGGCTATCAAGAAACCATTGCTGTGTTGTCTTTAATAATGTCAGATGAAACATCGTCTTGTAGTGCCTATCTGTTTTGAATGTTTGCCACCATCATAGAAATCTATATTTTGCACACGAAACGTCAGGAGGAAATAATTCCAGATCAAGGTCTGTAAGTCCTGGAAACAATGTATCGTTACATTATAATCTTCAATATATTTATAAATGTAAAAAAATAAGTGTCTGTGCTTTTTTGAATAATTTATTATCAAATTAAACATAATTTCACTCTTCATGGTATATTATAATGATCTTCTATTTTTAATGTTTTACCTTAGTTCACAATATTCTGAATTCCATTTGTATAGTCCTAATATCAAATTAAAAAAGTATACAACATATATAATACCTGATACTGCTCTGTATGAATTAAGGCACTATTACTGTCTAGCATGCTAAAAAATTGCAGATTTTCAACATTTTTTTTTGTATCTTACTTACTTTATGTGGCAATTTCTTTCACTGTTCCTGTATTTCAAAGATGGCGTCAAAAATTTTTCGTCTAAAAATTACTACTCCATGACGGACAGTTAATCTCTGAAACAGTAAATTTGATATATAAAATTCAGGATGAGTTATAAAAAAAGGGTGCCCTTACGTTATAGTTTACCAGAAACATTGAAAATAAAAAAATGGCGGATATTTGCAAAAATTGTTCAAAAATTGATCTTTTTCGACTTTTTTTCAATCACAAATTTTTTTTTTGTCAAATTGTGATAAACTGTTATAGAAGCTAACAAAAAAACCAACAACTATTTCCAAACTTATAATAGAAAATTTAGTTAATGATGATCCTAACCTCGTCTCTTACAAGCTCAATAACTACCTTGCTACAGTTGGTTCGGAACTTGCTCAGGCCGTTAAACCCTCTGGATATGTTCCACCAGGACCTCTCTCAATAAACAACATTTTTTCTTGGAGTTTCAGAACAAAGGAGGAAATTGAAGATATAATAAATAAATTGAAGGGTAGAACTGCATGTGGACTAGACAAGTTATCAGTTGATACTATTAAAGAGTTCAAGAGTGAGATATCAACTATTTTAAGTATTCTGGTAAATTTAACGTTCACTACAGAATCTGTTCCCAGTGCGCTAAAAATGGCAAAAGTTGTTCCAGTATATAAAGGAAGTGACTCCTTAATCTCTAGTAATTATCGACCCATTTCACTTTTACCAACCTAATCCAAAATTCTGGAAATATGTGTAAATAATGGAATCATGCACCGCTTAAACAATGAAAGTTTCTTAAATAACACCCAATATGGATTTAGAACAACAACAGCAACAGCTGATCTTATAACAAATATTATTGATAAAGGTCAATCTTGTATATTTGTATAGCTTGACTTGAGGAAAGCCTTTGATACAGTTGATTACATGCTGTTATTATCTGTATTGGAAACTTAAGGCATAAATGACATAGTGTTGAAGTGGCTTAATGATTACTATCAGGAAGAACACAGTTTACTTTTGTTAACAGGATGAATAGTCAATATTGAGTGTGAAGTTCCTCAAGAGTCTATACTTGGTCCAATGCTGTTCTTTATTTATGCTAATTCAGTTTTAACATTGCCACTAAGAGGTACATTACAAATGTGTGCCCTTTGTGTGTACAAATGTTGTATACTTTAGCAAAAACCCCAACGAGGCACAAAATTATATTGAGTTTGACTTACAGATGGTGAAGGGATGGTTAGATCATTATAAACTTACCCTTAATGCGGATAAATCAAGCTATATGGTGATAACAAGGAGAGAAGAGTGGCAACAATTAACGATAGTACTTGAATCAAGGCCTTTACAAAAAGTGGAATGTATCAAATATTTGGGACTGTTCGTTGATCATAGACTTACTTGGAGTATAACGTACATTTATGCAAAAAATCTCACCTGCAATAGGAGTTCTTGGAAGAGCAGCAAATTATGTAAAAATTAAATATAAGAAAAATATATATTACAGTTTAATACATAGCCATGTTACCTATTTAACTCTAATTTGGGGAAAAGCCACACATAATCATCTTCATGCTCTTTGTGTGCTTCAAAATACAACTAAAAAAAATGGCCAGACCACCAAGATTCTTCCTAACAAAAGAACTGTATTTACCCATTAAGATTACAGACATTCAATCTATATATATATATATATATATATATATATATATATATATATATATATATATATATATATATATATATACAAAGTGTGTACGTTCCTACACCGGTGTCACATGGAGAAATTTCACTCTAAAGAACTCTATAGAAACAACTGCCACTCATTAAGTTCACTAATATAACGTAAGAAATAGATTTCACCTTAGAGCTACAGCAATGAACACAACTGCAGAATAACGAAGCATTATGGTAAAAAGAATAAAGTACTACAACCTTATCCCGGACATAGTGAAGGCAATGAACATCAATGCCTTCAAACGAAAATTAAAAAATCCAATTTATGAGAACTATTTTCTAACCTTTTTACTTTGTTTATTTTTTGTCTCCTTTTTTTTATAAATATGTTTAAGTTTTCTTTCTGTTATATAAATATCAATAATGATAATATCTGTACAACACATAAGTTGTTTGTACAGTTGAACCTCATCTTCGTATTAAAAAATTAAATAAATGAAAATGAAAATAAAAGAAATTTGTACTTTCATGTAATAAATAAATAAATTTTAGTAAACCGTAATGCATTTTGTTTATTTTGGTTTTCTCTGCGATAATTTACTACAATTTGACCAAACAAAAATAATAATAAAATTTTTTTGACTGAAAATAGTAAAAAAAAGGTAAATTTTTTCAATTCTCTGCCATTTTGTTTTTTTAAGAATTTTAAATTTTTCTGGTAAACTATCACTTCTTTTTAAAACCCTTCTCGAATTTTATGTTTCACATTTGCCGTTCCTGAAATTAACTGTTCCCCATAGAGCAGTAATTTTATAACGAAAAATTCAGTAACAATGAAGAATTTTTGTTTTAATTTTGAAAAGTTGTTAATATAAAAAAAGTTTAATTACCACATTATTGTAGATAAAAAAAAATTGTAGAAAATATTTCTTTTTTAGCATTCTAGACGGTAATAATACCTTAAATGAAAAATATTTATGACCAATATTGCATTAGTTTAGTTTCTTAGTCCAAAAATATTGTGGAAGATGAAACAAACTTTCATTTTGTAGATGCCAATTCCATAATGGAGGAGGAATCTGAAGCTGATGAAAAAAATAAAAAATATACAATTATAGTGTCTGGTCTCGTTATACACTTTCTTCTCCTTCTCGCAGTGTTTGACGTGTATTTTGCCAGTCCCCTAGACAATGGAATGTCACCGATTAGAAGTACCTCTAATCCGCCGGCTAAGAGATTAGTGTTGTTTGTTGCAGATGGATTGAGAGCAGAAGCTATTTTTGGTGAAGAAAAAGAAGAACTGATTCCTTTTTTGACAGATAAGTTAAAAAATGTAGGGAGCTGGGGTGTTGCACACACAAGGGTACCGACAGAGTCCAGACCAGGTCATGTGGCTATGTTAGCTGGAATATATGAAGATCCTAGTGCTATTTTAAAGGGTTGGAAATCTAATCCTGTTAATTTTGATTCTGTGATTAACCAAAGTACTAATGCTTGGGCTTGGGGAAGTCCTGATATAGTTAAAATATTCAATAAAGACAAATTATCTAAAATACACATATCTTCTTATGATGCACAAATAGAAGATTTTGGCAAACAGGATACGGGTATATTAGATACTTGGGTATTCCAAAAAGTTGATGTTTTTTTGAAGAACGAAGTAAAAAGTTGCACAGAAAACTGTGATCAATATTTTACAAACGGTAACACATTTTTTCTGCATTTACTGGGAATTGATACTGCTGGACATGGCTACAAACCACATTCCAAAGAATATAAAGATAACATTAGATTAGTTGATAGGAATATTGCAATTATTACGGAATTATTTAATAACCTTTACCAAGATGGTTTGACGGCTTTTGTCTTTACTGCTGATCATGGAATGACAGATTGGGGATCTCATGGTGCTGGAACTGACCATGAAACTGAAGTACCTGTCATAGCATGGGGAGCAGGAATTGAGAAAAACCACAAACGACAAGACATTAATCAAATTGATTTAGCTCCTATGTTAGCATCACTTATTGGAATACACATTCCTATAAACTCCTTAGGAATTTTACCAGTAAATTATATTAATTCTAGTCAAGAAAATAAAGCACAAATGATGAAGTCAAATGTATTAGAGTTGTTAGAAATATATAATCGAAAAAAATTGAGAACAAAAAGTGGTGCTTTATTGTATATCCCTTTTAAATTCGACGAATTTATAAATGAAAAGTTACAGCAACTGCAAAGTCTTAATACTGAATCCCAAACTGACTATCTTATTTTTGAGTGTCAAAATCTTATCAAGGTATTAATATCAGGAGTAAATTATTATCATAACTATTATCAGTACCCGGTGTTATTGACTGTGAGTTTGGGATTCATACTGTGGGTCATTTTCTTGTGTTTATCTGTTTTTGGTATAAAAAGAAGAAAGGTTACTAACAAAACCTTAGACTTAATTATATTTCTTTTAGTGATAGGAACAACATTTTTATGTGCTAAAAGTCAGTTTAGCTATACCTACTATTTATATTTTAATTTTCCAATTTTAGTGTTCTTTTTGCTTCTTAAAGATAGAGAGTTTGATAAGTTTCCTCTGCAACTGACATATCCCAACATTGTACAAGTGGTTTATTACATCATAGGAATAGAACTGATGGTATATGGCTTTTACAATAGATTATCGTTTAGTGTTATAATGATTTTGATAGCTAGCTGGATTAACATTTCCAAATCTCTTAGAACCAGTTCTTCCTATGCTGAAAAAACTACTTGGGTGGTGTGTAGTATAATCTTAGCAATCTTTCCATGTCTACCTGTTATGCGAACTTCCTTTAATCTTCCGATTTACATTGCCGGTTATATAGGATACTTACTGATATTTCTAAAAATATATTTTTATGATCTTAACCGTTACAGTCAACTTAGCAGTCTTCAATTACATTATCGAATATATTTACTCCAGTTTTTCTTCCTGCAAATAGCAGCAGTGTATGTATTATTGATAGAATTCGAATATATACCTTCTGATTCTTTAGTCAAAGGTGTTTCGTGGGTTATATTTATTTTTCCAATTTTAGTAATACCATTGACTGACAAATATGTTGCTCTTCGACTTGTAGCTACAGTTTTTGGTTTTGCGCCCTTCTATTTGATGGTGTCACCCAATTATGAAGTATTATTTTCTGTATTTTATATACTATTACTTTATACATGGCTTTTGATAGAAAGCAAGACGTTCAAGTATGAGTCGTCTCATAAACTTATTTACTTTATGCGGTTTGAACATTACAAAAGCCAGAGTTCTGTCAATACTGATGACTTTCGGAGAGCTTTTCTATTTGTGGTATTTATTTTTGTAGGATTCTTTGGTACGGGAAATATAGCTAGTATGAATTCGTTTGATCCAATGTGGGTTAGAGCTTTCCTTACAGTGTTCAGTCCCTTTAAAATGATGGGTTTGATTCTTCTCAAATTTATTGTGCCATTTATTTTTACTTGCAGTATTTTTAGGGCCATAAACGAAGTGGGAAAACAGAATGTTATGAATATATTTTGTATTATATTAATTTTTTCGGATCTAATGGTTCTGCAGTTTTTATATTTAATAACTAATGTTGGTTCTTGGCTAGATATCGGCACAAGTTTATCACATTTTATTATTATGGACAGTTTTGTTACGATGTTGTTATTGTTATATGGGTTTGCGTATTGGCTAATGAGTATAAAGTACTGATAACTGTGTATTATGCTGCGAACAAATAGTACTGAGTGACAAAATTCTTTATGTATTTGATAGATATTTTTTATTGTATAATTGTTTGTATTTATAGCCAACAAATAAAATATAAACATATTAATTTGTTTTATTAAAAATACTGTTCCTCTATGCATGACCACACTTTGTTATTTTTCTTACATATGCTTATTTCCGAATACTCTTTCCTCTTACAATATTGTGCGAATTAATGGAATCACTGTGAATTTTTTTCATTTTTTTAATATTCACAAGAAAATGTTTTGGGGATGTTTTTCATACATGGGGGTTTAATCTTTGGTGCCAAATGAAGGCATGATGAACAGCCAAAAATACAAATCCATGTTGGAAAAGTATTTGGACAAACAACTCCAAAAATGTCAACCCCAAGGAGGAGCGATTCTTCAACAGGACTCTGCTCCCTGTTACAAATCAAAGGAAATTATGGCATTTTTTAAAAATAAGATGATTAATGTTTTAGATTGGCCCGGTAATTCGCCCGACCTCAACCCCATTGAAAATGTATGGGCCATTTGCAAAGCTAGACTGCGAAAAATCGACTGTACCACTAAAACAAAAATGATAGAAGCGGCCATTTAGGTTTGGCATCGAGATGAAAGAATATCTGACAACTGCCAGAAACTCATAGAATCTATGCCAAAACGGGTAAAAGCAGTAATTGCTGCCAAAAGGGGACATATTTCCTACTGAATGATGTAAGTTTACCTTTATAGTTTTGTCAAAGTATAATTTTTTACTAAATAAACCGTTTTTTCATTCAAACAGTCTATGATTCCATTAATTCGCACAATACTGTATTTTGTAGTTCTGTATTGCTAGGTGTATTTATTATTACACGGCTCAACAATTGAAGTGTTTTCATCTCTACTGTTTCTAACAATATTTTTGCCATCTTCGTCTCTGGTTTGTCCTCTCATTATTGTTCTGATAACTGGTGGTATCCCATCGAGTCCGCGAGCCTTTCGTGTCTTTAGGGCACTAAACACTTTGTTGAGTTCGTCTACGGTAAAAGGTATAGCTCGCTGAGCTTCGGAGTCCCATTGCACTCCATATCAATGGCCGGGTGGAAACAGCTCTCTACAGAGGTACAGCTTAAACTGGTTAATTAAAATTTTGTACCCCTGACCCCAAACGTCCTCATCCAACGTCACACAGTTCTCTCCATTACCTCTTCTTCTTTGCTTCTATCTTCCTGTTCAGTTCCTTTTTCGATAACTAGTAAATAACTAGTAACCGAAAACATACAGCGATGGTATGTTTTCGGTTACTTCTCTACCTCGTGCCCTCGTAGCCTGTCTTCTGATGGCAATGCATTTCTTTCTCTTATTGGCGATCTCTTCGCACAACCAATAAGGCATTTGTCTTTTTTCATCAACCCCATAGTCTCTCTAATCATTGATTCAATTCCTTCTGCCGATGGTGGTTGACATCTTCTCCGCTCTATCATCCATCTAGAGTACTCATCAAACGCTAGCCAGTCAGTTCTATCTCCACCTCTCGGTAAAGAGATTCCTACTACTTTTAATTTGTGTACCAGTTGACTTCCATTCCATTTAATATTTCTCAACGGATTGCCACCTCATTTTGGAAGAGGACATAGTATCCCTTAATTCACGTTAAAAAGATATCCACCTCATTTTGGCCGAAGACATAGTATCCCTTAATTCCCGTTAAAAAGATATCCCCTTGGGAGCAAACTTGACGTGTCACAGAGTTTCCCGGAAAAATGTTTTCATTGGAGATGTTTCAGGTAAACTGTTTCCTAATGACCTAATTGGAGAATCGTGTTTACTTGAAGGTTTATGTAATGCGAACAACAATAGTTTGCAAGCTTTAAGTAAATAAAACATATATAATTAACTTAATCTGTATCGTTGTCGAGGTTACTAAGTATTTTTTCTTCTACTACTACTCTAATTTGCTATCAACACATTATTTAATAAAAAATGTAAATAATGCTTTACTGGAACAACATAACAAACCCCAATAATTATCATACATAAACAAATTATCAATATTTCTCAAAATAACACAGGTAGAATAACTTCATTACCAACAAGGTTAAATTTGCGTATTTGATAAAATTTTGGGTTGTTGCACGTCATATACGTGAATATAAAACAAAAAGATTTATCTATTGGCTCTAGTTTTTCTTTCAGTTTTTAACAGAGTGGTTGGTAGAAAAAGTTGGTAAGGTATAGTAAATATTTTATTTATAAGAAAATAATATTTTGATATAAGTAGATACTCTAGCATAGTTGAATTAATGAAGATTTTTACTTCTCGATCCTCAAAAAAATCCGGTTTTGGTGTTTTTTAATTTTTATATATTATTTGAAATCATATACATTGCGTACAGTCATTAACAATTAATTACAATTATATAGTACAATTTATGCTGTATATTTATTTATGTATATATGTATATTTATTCAACTGCTTTACTAAAGTTAGCGAATATTAGGGCAATAATCTCCCCATTATTAGCAATTTTAAAGAGTTCAGTTTATTCTAATCATATCAGTTTCTTTGGTTCATATGTACGTAACATTTAACTTAAACGTTTGTTTTACATCAGTTTATCATGCAATTTTTGCTATTCTGCGGTCTAATCAAAGTTCATTGCTTTTAATCTTCTGATCATTGATGTGCTTGGAAATCGCATCATAACCACTCTAACTTTCGAAGCAAATGATCTATGTAATTTATAATATGCCATAAGAACTGCTCTAAAGAGTTTTTCGAGTTGCAACCATTTGATTTTCTTATTGCTAGCTCTAAAAATATTGCAAGAGAAACTTGGTCTATAATAAACACAGGTCAAACATTTTCTCTTCCAATCCCTGAAAATCTAAAAGAATACTTCGTTAATGTGAGTAAAAATCTAACATGAACTATTTTGCCACAACAAGATTCTATTTTCGATCTCCCCAATTCAAAAAAGGTATCGAATTCATTATTTATAAGACCAGTTGATAAATTTGAACTGATCCAAACAATCAGTGGTATCAAAAGCAAATCTTCCTATCCATAAAATTTTCTTAAATCTCCCAAAAACATGTGTTGGAAGTCCTGGTCTCACCAATTAACGATTTCTTTGAAAAAGGTATATTTACCTAAAGGCAGCCGTTAATATTCCTCTTTATAAGGGTGGTGGAAAATCTAATGTCTGCAATTATGGACCTATTGCTTTACTACCTGTTATATCCAAAATTATTGAGAGACTTATGTCTTTTCTCGTTGAAAACAGCATTTTATCACAAAGTTAATTCGGCTTTTTATATAATAAATGTACCAGCGAGGGTATGTTTTCTGTAATACATGAGGCCTATCAAGCACTAAACAATAATATTTTCACTGCCACTGTTTTTTGTGACTATGTAACCGCTTTTGATTGTGTAAATCACGAAACTTTGATAAAAAATTTAAATTTTTACGGAATTCGAGGTATTTCTTTGAATTGGTTTCAATATTACTTGAGGAATAGGAAATAACTAGTTAGAGCAAATGAGACGGACTCTAGTCACAAAAGCATTGTATGAGTAGTACCAAAAGGTTTATTACTGGGTCCTCTACTTTATATTATCTGTATAAATGACATCAATAACTTAAAAATCGATTAATTATTATTTAACTGGGAATAAGCCACAATTAAAGATAAAAATACGTTTATTGACGTTTCAATTTCCACTTCGGAAATCGTTCTCAAAATACAAACAGTAAATTAATCAAATTTTGTTTTTTTATTACATAGTGAAAAATTCTTCTAATAATTTAATTTTATCTGACTCATTTATATTGACAATTCAGACATACATTATGCATTTTAAAGTAGACGACTTTAAAATGATATTGCCAATATTGTTGAGTTGCGCTCCTGGGACGACTTTACTTATAAGATAGTTCATTCGATTACATGAAATCAACTTTAACTTGAGAATATCCGTCAGAAAAAAATCATAGCATGTAATTCGTCTTTAAAAAGACAAACACATGACATGATGAGAGTAAAATTCTCCTGTTAGTGATTCCATAGTAAATTATGAGTGGTAAGTTATTCCATATTCCAATTATTATTCCATGGTAAGTATTTAGTTTACCTTCAATAAACACCAAAATTCTGATTTTATATGTTTCGTTATTTAAAAAACATAAATGATGTATCCTCTATATGTTACTGACTTACTAATACTGGTATTTTCTTATTAATAACTTCCTCTTTCAATATTTTTAACCAGATCGTACTACATTCTGCCGAGGAATTTGCGACACAATTGGCCTCGTTTAGCATAATTAGAGCCGCTTCTTTGATTTTTCTTTTTTTACCATCCGTTTGTGTTAGGACTACATTTGAATTATTCCATTGAACCCTATGTTCATTATCCCATGCGTGTTTACATATTTGAGATCTATCAAATTCTCTATTTTTAATATAAGATTGATGTTCACTTATTCTAACATTTAATGGCCTTGATGTTTCACCAGATAATAGGATGTCTTAATGGCATTTTGTGGAGCAAGGAGATAACAAAAAGGAGAAAATTTAATATATACGAGACAATGGTTAAGAGCAGCCTATTGTATGGAGCGGAAACATGGAGAATTCCAGGCAGACAAAAAAAGAAGGTAGAGGCAGTCGAAATGGACGCGATAAGAAGATCTATGCGAGTCTCACGAAGAGAAAGAATGAGGAATGACCATATAAAACAACGAATGGGAATAGAAGGTACGATAATTCAGGATATCGAAAAGAAACAATTTACCTGGTACGGACACGTACAGCGAATGCAAAATACTAGATGGCCCAAAAAAATACTGAACTGGACCCCAATAGGGAATAGTAAGCGAGGAAGGCCCAAATCACCTAAATAAAACTGATCGCATTAACAGGGTATTTTATAAATGCAATTATTTGTCCTTTCTTGTTCATTGTTAGGTTTGGTTTTCAAAAAATTCAAAACACCAAACACGTTGGGATCTATTTTTGAGATAATTTAAAATGCCACAAGAAAATAGCTTCAGAACAATATTAAAAATCGATGTAAAAATTTTTCTTTTTGCTGATGATACCAGTATTATCTGGAGGAACTCGTAAGATTGCAACTTTTAATGCAATTATAACTGCTGATCTACAAAATAAAAACCTGGTGCGACTATAATTTACTCTCTTTTAACGTGGATAAGACAGTAGCATTATCCTATAAAGGAGCTCTTCAACCCTTCCTTCTTAATAACAACCAAATCAGTATCGGTGATTCTATAAAATTTCTTGGTATTTTTATAGAAAGCAACCTTAAATGATCCCTTCATATCGATTTGTTAAATAAGAAACTAGCCTCAGCCTGCTATTCAATAAGATCTATTTCGAAGGAAATTTAGCATCTTCCAATATACCATATGTTTCTTTGTTCGAGTCTCATCTTCGATATGGCCTTCCTTTTTGGGGTTCTAGTACAGCTGCCCAATCTGAAGTTATTTTTAAATTACAAAAAAGAGCAATACGGTATATTTTTGGCCTCAGTAGAATAACACATTGCAGAAGCTACTTCAAAAATCACGGGATTTTAACTGTTACCTGT